ACACACACACACACACACACACACACACACACACACACACACACACACACACACACACACAACAGAGGAAACTCAATTAAAGGAGAAAAGAAGATGTAAGATTGAAAGCATAAAAGAAAGTGAGGAATCGTTTTTTTGTCTCTCTTTGATACCGTCTGTTCCACGACCTCTTTCCCTTCCCCTTGCCCTTATCCCCTCCCCCCCCCTGTTGCTCCTCCTCCTCCTCCCCTCACTTCCCCTGCCTCTGTTCCCTCTTTCCCCCCTGTTCCTCTCCCCATACTTTCCCCTCCCCCTGGTCCCACTCCCCTTCCTTCTTCTCCCCCTGCTCCCCCTTCACTTCCCCTTCTGCTGCTCCCCCTTCCCTACCTTCCCCTTCCCCTGCTCCCCCTCCCCGGACGTAGAGAGCAATTATCGTGACAATGAAAGTAAAGTTACGCCGCACTAAAATATGCGACCACTTCCGCCTGTCATCGTTCAAGCAAAACTGTGATGATTCACGACGATCTCAACCTTCCCCTTCCCTAGACACCCCCACCCCCCCCTTCCCAAGACACCCCCACCCCTTTCCTAGACACCCCCACCCCTTTCCCAGACACCCCCCACCCTCTTCCTTATCCTCTGCCGTGAACATCTCTCCTTCAAAAGACACCATTCCTACCGAACTTTCTCACCTGAAACCCCCCCCCCTCTCTCCCCCCTCTAAACTAGGGACCTCCCACACCCCAAAACAAGGAAATTTACCTCTGCCAGGGTCGCTTTTCTACCCCCGAATTGCCTCCAGCTTCCCCTGCAGGGTGGTGTTCTCCCCCCCCCCCTTCTGTCGTGTACTCTACCCCTCTTTGTACTCACACACACACACCTCTACACTACCCCCTTCCCTACACCAATCAGGAGATGGATGGAGAAGCTGTGAACGATTATTATAAACAAGGTTCCAGAGATACAGAGAGGTAGAAACACAGACGAAAGAGAGAGATAGTAAAGAAGAGACTCTAGATAGGTCGACAGAGAGACAGTCAAGAGACAGCATGGTGGAAAAGGTCTAAAATGTTATGTTCAATCCGTATGAGGAGTAAGGGAGCCCAACAGGTTGTGCAACACAGACTGATGGTGAAATATCCAGAGAGGAACACGAATGATCCCACAGCTCAGTGGACAAGTTACGAGACGCACACAAGTGAACGGAAAAAATGTACTGGAACCAAAAGTTGCAAATGGCCAAAAAGAGTGAGGAAAAAAATTGATAGTGACAAAATCAGCTGTAAATATATCTCTCACCACACCCCCCCCCCCCAAACTCCCCCCCCCCCTCCCCCCTTGCCAAACACACACCGAAACTACGACGTTGGTACAACGTTCGAACAAGTTTTAACACCACCTAACCAGTTATAACAACCAATATAACAAATTGTAACCACGTTCTAATACGTCATAAACACGTTAAGCCAAGATGTAACAACTTTATTACAAGTTGTAACAAGCGGAAAATAGAGACAGTTTAGGCTTGTGTTTCCAGGACCTCCCCCCCCCCCCACACACACACTCCCACAGCAAGATAATGAGAGACAGGAACGAAGTGAGGAAGAACATGCTGTTTATCACAGGTGAAGCATAGCCAGAGGACCCATCTGTTTCCTACTCAACACCCGAGTCGTAAGGACTTAAGGAAGGACTTCTTCACTACACTGTAAATCACACGAGTGGAATGAGCCTGAGGACGAGGTGGAGGATGATGACTCCACATTCACAAGCTTCGTCTGTGCCACAAAAAAGGGCCGGTGGGCCAGGAGCTGAAGCTCATTCCTCGCGAAAACACATAGATAACAATCATATTGATGAGCGCAGGAAAGACGAGCGCCCTATGCCCGCAATTGCTAGACCGACACATACACACACACACACACACACGCACGCACACACACACACACACACACACACACACACACACACACACACACACACACACACACACACACAAAAGTGGTAAACAAACAGAGTGGTAGACGTTTGGAACAAGTTAGGTGAGAAGGTGGTGGAGGCCAAGACCGTCAGTAGTTTCAAAGCGTTATATGACAAAGAGTGCTGGGAAGACGGGACACCACGAGCGTAGCTCTCATCCTGTAACTACACTTAGGTAATTACACTTAGGTAATTACACACACACACACACACACACACACACACACACACACACACACGCATCACGTTCACAAAGCATTTTAATAACTTGGGGCGGAGAATTATCACACCCATTATATATTGACCCGAACCATTTCCACACCCCACAACACATTTGCAAAATATTAAGCGGCGAAACCATTAAAGTTTAGGGCTAACACCTTGTGTAATTGGGAGTAATTGCACGCAAAAGGTTGCGAGCTGCCCCGTTATTTGCCAACGAGAGGGAGAAGGAGAGAGGGGGGGGGCGTTAGATGGAGGGCATGGGGAAGGGGGTGGAGGTGTTGGCAGAGAATTAAGCGCTTCTAAATGGGGGTGGAGGGGGCAGGAAGAATGGGGAAATGGGGAGGTGTGAGGGCGTGTGGATTACAAAGTAGTAAGAGCAGAATGAGGGGGGGGGGGAAATACTGGGAGATGAGGAGGGGGGTGTTTTAGAGGGTGTGAATGCCCTTTTTAATAACATCCAGAGGGGAGTTGTAAGGGGAGAAGAGCGATTTTTGGTACGATTTTGATCGTTCTGTAAATATTTCAGGACCCCAGGGAGACGAGGCAAATGATTGGCACCCCCGGCAATACTTGGCACTCTATATGTATATATGTAGCACATGTATATATATGTCGTATCTAGTAGCCAGAACCCACAACTTGGCCTAGTATACAAGGTCTGATTTGCCTAATAGGCAGAGTGATTTTCGTTACTTTAAAAAAAATCCCAATTGGTTTATTTGAATTAATACTATTATAATATATTATGACCATGAACAAATCCACAAGGGCCGTGACGAGGATTCGAACCTACGTCCGAGAGCATCCCAGACGCTGCCTTAATCGACTGAGCTACGACATGGTCAAAAAAGAATTGCAACCGGGAAATCAACTTGACCTACCACGTTCAAGTATTATGAACATGTATTACTGACTTTGTTATGTTAGTTTAAGTTAGGTTAGGTTACGATAGGTTAGGTAAATTTGGTCAGTCTTGGTCGTATTGTTAGTTTCAACTCAAAAAATCAAATTAAACAGTTAAAGAACAATCACAGACATTCACTTCACATTATATTTAGGTAAAAGTGTGATTGTAAATAAAAGTGTAATTCTATTTCGCACTTAAGGAGCTAAAAGCTGTCTAAAGTAGGGCCCGCCCTACTCCTTGAGAGAGGACGGGGAACTTAGAAACTCAGTCTCGAACCCCAGACTTTGGTTTCGTCGCCTGTCTTTACGTTTAATTACTGAAAAACGCTGATAATTTATATTCCTGTAAACGATAATTATTTATATTCCTGTTAAGCGTTATGGAATGCTTTGAGAGTTTCTCTCTCTCTCTCTCTCTCTCATGGAGAGGGTAGGGAGGAGCAGGAAGAGTGGAGTAGTAAGAAGGACGAGGGAGGGAGAGGAGGAAGGAGAGAAGAGAGTGGAAAAGGTAGAGGGAAGCTGGCCTCTGGAGCCAAGAGGAAAATCTTTGAGAGATGCAAGAGAGAGAGAGAGAGAGAGAGAGAGAGAGAGAGAGAGAGAGAGAGAGAGAGAGAGAGAGAGAGAGAGAGAGAGAGAGAGAGAAGCAATAACTCACCTCATCTCACAAACAAGAAGAGGTCCAACCCACCTATACACAAACTAACTAGAGAACCACCAACCCACTTCCACCCACTAACAAGAGGACCGCCATCCTGCCATCGCCCACTAACAAGCAAATTGCCTCGTTTCCTCTCCTCTCCAATTTACAGGGACAATCTGGTATTAGGAACAATATTCACCGAATACTCTACAGTTGGTCGATCAATCTCTCTCTCTCTCTCTCTCTCTCTCTCTCTCTCTCTCTCTCTCTCTCTCTCTCTCTCTCTCTCTCTCTCTCTCTCTCTCTCTCTCTCTCTCTCCCTCTCAACTTGGGGATTCTTAACGAAACACAAGCAAGCAAAAGCCTGAATAAATCAGGCGCAGGAAAAGCCTTTTTGTCTCGCTTCGCTTCAGACGATATATAATGTTGAGTTAACCGGACGCCAGGGAACCGACGGGCCGGATTAATTCGGTTTTGATCGGATTAGACGTTTTTGATGGAGTCGAAACATACAAAGTAAACAAAACAGAGGTAATGACTAGAGAGGTTTTTGATCGTTCGCCTTGGAAGGGAAAAGTGGAGGGGGGGGGGGGGAGGGGGGATTTAGGGAAGGAAGGAGGTGGAAGGGAGGAGGAGTTACGGAGGAAGGGGGTCAAAATGGGAAGGGAAAGGGAAACGCACTATCAGAAGATAGCGCCGAGCCGAGAATAGAAGGAATGGTGCCCAACTACTTGTGGACGGTCGGGGATTGAACGCCGACCTGCAAGAAGAGAGATCGTCGCTCTACCGTCCTGCCCAAGTGGTTTAAAAATATATTTTTTTCATACTACATGTGGGAGCTGTGTTAATAGAGGGGGGGAGGGTGTTAAGGGGTAAGGAAAGGGGTAATGGGAGAGGTAGCAAAGAAGGAAGGGGTTATGGGGTAAGAGGCAAGATGCAAGAGAAGGTTTCCTTCAGGTATTTCCGAGGATCAATGTCCCATTAACGGCCCTGTCTCTAACCAATCTACCCGGATGACGGTACGTGTGATCACCCAGACTGTTGGCCGCCCGCTGCTCGCAGATTGTAGTGGGAACGACCACATATTTACCAGAAAGGGAAAGGGGGGGGGAGGGGAGGAGGGAAGTGAGAGAGGGGGAGTGGAGGGGAGGGAAGTGAGAGAGAGGAGAAGGGGGGGGAGGATGAAGAGGGGAGGAAGTAGGAATGGAAGCCTCTCAAAGGTCTACCAAGGTCACCTAGTTACACCTGGCCAAGGCACAATCCTCGTTACCTGGTCCCATACAGGCGTCGTCCCATAGCCAGATGGCCCAGTGCTGGCACCATAGCCAGATGGTCTAGTGCTGGCACCATAGCCAGATGGCCCAGTGCTGGCACCATAGCCAGATGGTCTAGTGCTGGCACCATAGCCAGATGGCCCAGTGCTGGCACCATAGCCAGATGGCCCAGTGCTGGCACCATAGCCAGATGGTCTAGTGCTGGCACCATAGCCAGATGGCCCAGTGCTGGCACCATAGCCAGATGGTCTAGTGCTGGCACCATAGCCAGATGGCCCAGTGCTGGCACCATAGCCAGATGGTCCAGTGCTGACTCCATAGCCAGATGGTCCAGTGCTGACTCCATAGCCAGTTGGTCCAGTGCTGGCACCATAGCCAGATGGTCCAGTGCTGGCACCATAGCCAGATGGTCCAGTGCTGGCACCATAGCCAGATGGTCCAGTGCTGGCACCATAGCCAGATGGTCCAGTGCTGGCACCATAGCCAGATGGTCCAGTGTTGGTTGGGTCCAGGCGTAGTGCTGACCCAACTGCCAGCTGGTCCAGTGGTAGTCTAACAGCCAGCTGGAGTTGCAAAACTACAGAAAGGGTAACGAGAGAGAGTACTGAGTACAGAGGAGGTGATTTGGGACCCTGGCAACGATTTACAGAAGGGTACAGGAAGGTACAGAAGGAAACAGGAGGGAACAGGGGAGTATAGAAGAGTACATAAAGTAGTCATCTGATTCCAAATGTTACTCTAGATGTTTTCTCTAGAACACGATCCGCTAATCGTTCTACATCCAGCCATTGAATTACTGCTAGGTAAACAGGGAAGGATATCATTCAGTATCCAATCCACCAACCTGGAAATAGTGAAGCAAACGTTTCAGAAGCAAAATGTTTCAGAAGTTTCAGAAGTTGCTTCATAGAGTTTCAGAAGCAAAATGTTTCAGAAGTTTCAGAAGTTGCTTCATAGAGTATCAGAAGCAAACACACGAAAATACGAGCATAAACGAGACAAAGATCAATATTCCAAATATAGCCCAATCGTGTCCTGTCCTCATATTGCCTCTCGTGGCTGATATCCATCAGTTAATAAATGGCTTGAGTAAATATGTTGCGTTCTGATAGACTAGTGCCTAACATGAGTTTCCTCAAACAATCATCTTATGCAATTGAAAAGATTTTCTCCCTCCCTCAGCTATTTCCCCATTTCCCAGCAACTCATTTGATACTTGTGTGTGAAAGAGACGGAGATAGCACACCGTTTTATAGCCGGATTCTGTACAAAAAGATTATGTGATCATTTCCGAAAATCGACGCGTTTTTTTTTTTTGAGGGAAGGAAGGAAGAAGAAATTTTTAGTTCATGTTACAATAGTTGATTCAAATTGGATTATTTGTTCATTTATTTAGAGTAATAAATTTTGTTTACATACACAAATACACACCACGAGCGTAGCTCTCATCCTGTAACTTAACTTAGGTAAATACACACACACACATACACACACACACTCTAGGGGCCTCGTAGCCTGGTGGATAGCGCACAGGACTCGTAATTCTGTGGCACGGGTTCGATTCCCGCACGAGGCAGAAACAAATGGGCAAATTTTCTTTCACCCTGAATGCCCTTGTTACCTTGCAGTAAATAGGTACCTGGGAGTTAGTCAGTTGTCACGGGCTGCTTCCTGGGGTGTGTGTGTGTGTGGAGTGGGGGAAAAAAAAGTAGTTAGTAAACAGTTGATTGACAGTTGAGAGGCGGGCCGAAAGAGCAAAGCTCAACCCCCGCAAACACAACTAGGTGAATACACACAAGAGGAATTCCTGAAACCAGCAACTTCAAGAACAAGAGGACACAGATTCAAGCTTAGGAAACAAAGGTGCCGAAAAAAAATATTAGAAAGTTTTCTTTTGCATGCAGAGTGATAGGCGGTTGGAGCAATCTAAGTGAGAAGGTGGTGGAGGCCAAAACCGTCAGTAGTTTCAAAGTGTTATACGACAAAGAGTACTGGGAAGACGGGACACCACGAGCTTAGCTCTTATAGCTCGCTTAGATTATATATATATATTAAACATCAATAAATACTGAGAATAAAACAATCCATTTATTTCTTCTCGTTTCCTGTATCCTCACCTGCTGTATCCTTACCTCCCCTCGTGGCTCCCCTCTCCTACTGTTGCTGAGGTATACATACAGGTATACATACAGGTTGCTGAAGTATACATACAGGTATACATACAGGTTGCTGAGGTATACATACAGGTATACATACAGGTTGCTGAGGTATACATACAGGTATACATACAGGTTGCTGAGGTATACATACAGGTATACATACAGGTTGCTGAGGTATACATACAGGTATACATACAGGTTGCTGAGGTATACATACAGGTATACATACAGGTTGCTGAAGTAAACATACTTCGCTCCTGGGTGTATGTACACCCAGAGTTGACTATAGTCCCGGGATAATGCATATTGGCTGGTTGGTCAGTAATCACTAGCGTGGCCTTAATATCCACCGTAGAGCTGATACACCTTATAGACCCAAACCCACCCATTTTTGGTAGTTCTGAACACACTGTGCATTTTCGAACTCCGTATAGGTATCGAACACGTTGTGTTTTCCAACGCCGAATATTTTCGAACGCTGTATATACTCGAACGTCGTATATTTTCGCACGCTGGATATTTTTGAACACTGTATTTTTTCGATCACCGTGTATTTTCGAATATCGTTTGCTTTCGAAAACTGAATTTACGAAAACCGTGTATTTTGTTGGCCTTCAAGTTGTTCAATCATCCAACCTTCATCAACCGACATCAACCGACATCAACTAACATCAACCGACATCAACCGACATCAACTAACATCAACCGACATCAGCCGACATCAATCGAATTTCACCCAAGTACAGGACATTTTTCTGACCGTATTTGTAACCGGTGTCGTTATAGTGACTTTCTAAACACCTTTATGACTTTCTAAACATCTTTAGACTTTCTAAACACCTTTAGATTTTCTAAACACCCTTGGACTTTCTAACACGTTTCTAAACACCTTTAGACTTTCTAAATACCTTTCTAGACACCGTCTGAGACCAAACATCCATTTTGTGACTTCAATCCTGTCCACGAACCAGGATTGGTCAAGATTCTACGCAATCAAATACGAAACCTGTGCGTCTTTGCTTCTGTCATGTAGGCTTAGTTTTTTTTAATTTATTAAGCAATTTCTCAATTTCGAAACATTCACAACTCTGAGGTTATCATTGTTATAGACAACTATATATATATATATATATATATATATATATATATATATATATATATATATATATATATATAGTGCCTCGGAGCACTATAGTACTTAGAAATATAATACGTATATAGTACTTAGAAATATATATTACAAACTAACAAAAAATAAGGGAAGGGGACTATCAGGGGAAAAGGGCCAAGTCATTACGACTATATAGCCCTTGGAAGGGGTCAGGATAAGGATTTGGGATGGGACGGCGGGAAGGAATGGAATGCTGCCCAACCACTTGTGGACAGTCGGTAATTGAACACCGACCTGCATGTAGCGAGACCGTCGCTCTACCGTCCACTCCAAGTGGTTGACTAGATACTTAGAAAGCCATTGAAAACGATGCTTACAATTGTGCTAAAAAAAATAGTTGTGTATTTGAGTGGAATTCGGTTGATGGAGATTGATGGGGTTTTATGGATGTTGATGGAGGTTGATGGGGGTTCGATTACCGAGCAACAGGAAGGCTAACAATATATATACACACAGTTTTCGAAAGTTCTGTGTTCTAGAATACGCTGTGTTCGAAAATAATCGGTGATGGAAAATACACGGATGACGAACAATGTGTAGCGAAAATCAGACCATTAGACAACGAATAACGAGCATTGGACAACGGATAACAGAACAGATTGAGAGGTAACGAGTGTAACGGATAACGGTCTCCAGACACAGGATAACGAGCACCACACAACGAATAACGAGCCCGAGACAACAGAAAGTGAGCACAGCAAAAGACACGAAATAACTAGTGAGCTAATAATTCTTTTTACCGGTTGTGACTTACCAGCACAGAGAGAGAGGGAGGGAGAGAGGGAAGGAGAGAGGGAAGGAGGGAGAGACGGAAGGAGGGAGAGAGAGGGAGTTAGTGAGGAAACGAAGGACTGAACATAGATCACAAAAAAAAACACAGCCCTGGGGCGAACTCTAATGATCGCAGCAGGATTCGAACCTGGACGGCCAAGGCATGTAACCACAGCAGTCCAGTATTTTACCATACCCTGGCAAACCTAGATTCGAAACCTTATTTGTGTGCTGCTCAGCACGATTCCAGCATGTTCATGGACGTGATGAAATATCTAGGCCTACGGACCGGAAGTGTAGTGAGGTGTAAGATGCAGTTGGACCTTATGGTATTGGACTCTTGTGGTTGATGCCCTGGCGGCACATGTTCGAATCCTTGAGGGGTTCTACGGTGGTCTCCAGGAGCTATTGGGTCTCGAAGATCTATTGTGGTCTCCAGGAGCTATTGGGTCTCGAAGATCTATTGTGGTCTCCAGGAGCCATTGGATCTCGAAGATCTATTGTGGTCTCCAGGAGCTATTGGGTCTCGAAGATCTATTGTGGTCTCCAGGAGCTATTGGGTCTCGAAGATCTATTGTGGTCTCCAGGAGCCATTGGATCTCGAAGATCTATTCCCGCCAAACACACACCGAAACTACGACGTTGGTACAACGTTCGAACAAGTTTTAACACCTCCTAACCAGTTATAACAACCAATATAGCAAGTTGTAACAACGTTCTAATACGTCATAAACACGTTAAGCCAAGATGTAACAACTTTATTACAAGTTGTAACAAGCGGAAAATAGAGACAGTTTCGGTTTGTGTTTCCAGGGTTGTCCATTGGATCTCGAAGATCTATTGTGGTCTCCAGGAGCTATTGGGTCTCGAAGATCTATTGTGGTCTCCAGGAGCTATTGGGTCTCGAAGATCTATTGTGGCCTCCAGGAGCCATTGGGTCTCGAGGATCTATTGTGTCCTCGAAGCAGTCCGTTCAATTGATTTCCCTTCCGTAGAACAAATACAGTAGCTTGGCCTAACCAAAAATGTAGAAAACTTGGTTACCCACATAACCAACCGGAGCCCCTGCTCACTAGTCCCTAAAAGCGTCACTACTAAGGGTTTCTAATTTCCCCTAAACCATGACAATTTTTACGCTGGGGTCGATTGCATGCAAAATATAGTGCGTACATTTGTAGGACGGGTTGGGGTCTGAAGAGCCGAAGAAACCATAGTATTCTCCAGAGAACGCGACCATGATCTCGAAAACGTTTATTCCTGGATTTAGAAACCTCTCTAACGAAGGGAGATAAGGAGAGTCTAATTTAGGGTCTTTGTCAAGACGGAGTGTAAAGAGTAGGTGTAAAAACGGTTTCTAAGGGAGAGTGGGACCTTATGAAGTTTCCAAGTGGAAGTGGGAGTGAAAATTGGATAAATGGGTATGAATTGGATGCGTGGGTATGAACTGGATGAATGGGAATGAATTGGATGAATGGGTATGAACTGGATGATTGGGTATAAGCAAAAGAGGGACATAAGGAGGTTTTCAAATATATCAAACATAAAACAGAACACGAAACAATTTTCACAAATTCTATAAGTTGAGATACAGTCGAGACCTGGGTAAATACTGCCTTGGAAATATAACTGTTCATTCATAGAATAAATTACCGAGTAACATAATAGACATGGGAGTGGTGGATAGTTTCAAGTGAAGGCTATACATACACAGTCCACTGTCACTGTCTACTGAAATGAGTTTCAGTTGACAGTGACTCAGTCTATAGTTTTGTGTAGTAAAAAGCTTTGGTTATCAAGGAGTTATACCGACCTCGATGATTTATGGTTATATTGGTAAAACTATTCTGATATCGAGGGGTCTATGGCCAGGAGGAGGAGATTTGATCGTCTCGAAAATCTATTGCCTCGAAGAGGAAGAAAATTCACACATAACTGTAATTTGTTGTTGTTGTTTAAGATTCGCTACCTGGAACAAAAAGTTCCAAGCAGCACGGGCTATGGTGAGCCCGTAGTGGACTTGTATTAAACTGTAATTATTGCATGATTTTATGGGGGCGAGAAATGACCACCTAAGACTCACCTGGAGGACGCCTGCACGAAGTCAACAAAGCCGCGATGTTCGACGCCGTTCCAGGAGTACGTTTGCAACGTCCTACTTGTCTATAGTGTGGCGTAAATAAGCGTAGACGTTCGTTGGAAAAGACAGTGGGTGGTCGTCTCCGAACGTTCCTCCGACGTCTCCTCGACACGTTCCTTACGATGTCTCCTCAATGCGTTTCATTTAAGAGTTTTGCACACGTTCCTCAGGTCTCAATTCACACGTTCTTAGGAATCGAAGCTACGCCCCTTCCTCAAAGGGAGGAACTTTGAACACACGTTCCTCTGTGATATTCCTCAGCAAGTGGCAGACTTCGCCTCAACTCACAGACAAACATCGAAGCAGACTTCGACTCAGCTCACAAACATCGAAGCAGACTTCGACTCAGCTCACAAACATCGAAGCAGACTTCGACTCAGCTCACAAACATCGAAGCAGACTTCGACTCAGCTCACAAACATCGAAGCAGACTTCGACTCAGCTCACAAACATCGAAGCAGACTTCCTCGACACATCTGCATAAGCACAATCTCGGTATCTCTCTCTTGTTGTTATTCTCTAATGCTGTTAAAAACATTTACCGAACGAGATAGAGTTGAGAGAAAGGCAAGAAAGGTTCAGAGGTGCCTTATACATAACCATGGTAAGGTCTCTTGGTCCAGGGAGGTCTGGGGTCTGCTCCCTGAGGTGATGCAAACTTTGTTGCTCAACATCGCGCCTTTATTCTGCCGTGCGTTGACCAGATCTTGCAACGCCGTGGTGCGGGAACGGTTGCAGTATAATCCCTTCAACCAACAACCATCCCACTAATCCTCGTCTTCCTCACAGCATCCTCAAGCAACCCCACGACGGGTTGCTTGTCTGTCGGTACTAGAACTCCGGACGACTATAAACCCGTGCTAGATGAGGCTTGATTGATGCTAGAGGCGTTGTGAGTGCTAGAAACGGGCCGGTGGTGAGGGAGATGCTGGACTTGTTCAGCGCGGGCGTGCGTGCGTGTGTGTTGTGTGTGTGTGTAGAGGTGGCGTGCGTGCGTGCGAGGGGAAAGCTACAGACCAACTCAGGCCAAACGCGCTCCTCACTCGGCCCAGCTCTCACCCGACACTCCCTCCCCCTCACTCACTCCCTCACCCCTCCCCTCTATCACACGCGCCTGCTCCACACCTGAGCAAAAAAACAAAAAACAAAAAACAAAAGAGACACTTCCTTCCATTTTACAAAAGAGGAGATATATATATATATATATATATATATATATATATATATATATATATATATATATATATATATATATATATATATATATATATATATATATATGTATTCACAGTGCCATAGGTTTCATAGTGCCGTAGGCTTCATAGTGCCGTAGGCTTCATAGTGCCGTAGGCTTCATAGTGTCATAGGCTTCACAGTGCCATAGGCTTTACATTGCCATAGGCGCTATAAAACCCTTAGTCGTAACGGTTAATAATTCTGTTGATGGTTCATGAATATTTTCAAGTTTCCAGATGCCTCGGTGCTATTGACACCTCTCAGGTAAACTCCGTTTTTTCCTGTGGTTTACCTGTCTCTGGCGGCGCGAGTTTCTCTACTCAAACATTCGGTCCCGGGACGGTAGATTTTCCCGGTGACGTCCCGCCGGCAATATTTCCAAACGTGGGTCGATAGAAACATTCACTTGCGAACCTCTGACGCTCACGGTGTTCCCAAACGGTGTTTTATGATAACCTTTCCTCTCCTCACTGGGCGTATTTTGCACGTCCTTCTGCCTCCCACTCCACAAATGTTTGGGTTTTGTTGTGTGTGTGTGTGGGGTTAGGAACGTGATCTTTCAAGACAGCGTGTGTCTACCGGGTTCAAGGCGAGTGGGATAACCACTTCGCTATATATTACACTGTGAAAGTTAGCTTAATTGTGCCTCGTCAGTGGTTATTAATACTGAGGGATGTTAGCCACCAGCTTGTTATTTTTTTCGTTTCTTTTCAACCGCCGTTGCGTGAGTGTCTCTGGGAATCTCTTCTGGATCTAAGTTCTTCCTTCGCTATACTCAGGGTCCGTGTTAAGGGTATCGTTCCCTCCTGTGTAAATATGCGTCGTTAAGTGAGAATTTACTAATTTAATATCCGATATATGATTCCATTTGTTCGAGTGGTTTCCTAAACAGGGATTCGAACGATTCTCGTCCGAATCCTGCTGTTCGTACTCTTGTAAACAGGCTCTTAATACTAGTAAAAAAAAAGGGGGGGAGGGAATGTGAGAAACAATATTTTAGGGGTTTTTCTTCCCTTTCTCTTTCATAAAAGGCTTTCTGTTCTTTTCATTTCTCTTCGTTCTGGTAAGAGTATTTTAGTTTTTGGTTCTGTATCTTTTTTTTTCCGTACGTGGATTTCTTTCTCTCTCTCTCTCTCTCTCTTTAGGAACAAAAGATTTTGATACAGTGTTTCTGTAATATACTTCTTCGGTACAGTGGCCTATACCCCGCACTCTCCCCGTGGGAAACTTTTCTTTCAGAGAAAAATATTTCAGTCATATGTTGTTCTTCTGCATTAAATGTTTTAAGAGCATTGGGTCTGAGTCTGAGACCCTGTAATGGTTTCCAAGGGAGAGTGAGACCTTAAGACGGTTTCCAAGGGAGAGTGAGACCTTAAGACGGTTTCCAAGGGAGAGTGAGACCTCAAGGAGGTTTCCAAGGGAGAGTGGGACCTCAAGACGGTTTACAAGGGAGAGTGGGACCTCAAGACGGTTTCCAAGGGAGAGTGGGACCTCAAGAAGGTTTCCAAGGGAGAGTGGGACCTCAAGAAGGTTTCCAAGGGAGAGTGAGACCTCAAGACGGTTTCCAAGGGAGAGTGAGATAATACACTATATACTTTGCTACAGTCAGTGACTCTTGGACAAACAACAAGCTTTTACATTAGTTAAGACGTGAATAAGATTGTGATCTGAGCAGAGTTGCTCGTCTGGGAAGAATCTGGAGATCTGGAGCTTTATTTAATAATAATCGTAAAGTATGGGGCTGATAGTGGTAACGTAAGCGGTTGGTACGGCCTCGGTCGAAGGTTCGAAACACCTCACAACTCTAGTGGATTTTCTCAATAATAATAATATTTTGTAGGTAAGAAATGTACATTATATAAAGCCATAAAGCTCTTGTAGGATGGGCAAAGTGTGTACTAATAGGGTTCAAGCTGACCCAAACCCGCTTAAACCCAACCGTGAAGGCGATCATGTAAACAGTGAAACAGGTGAAATTTCATGGGTGAAATTCAGTCATTTATAGTTTCTAGGAGTCAATGAGATTCAGTAATCTATGACTTCTACGATTTAGCGAGGTTCATACATGAGAAAACCCTCATGTGGTCGAGGTTCAAACCTCTATTTTTTTATCACATGTAATCAAGACAAAACTTACTACAACAATCATTTGTTTTTGTTTTTTTGCTGATTCGCGTAAAATTAACACTGCCCTTAACTAGGTAAGACAAAAACCTTAACAAACCTTAACAAAATACTAAAACAAGCGTTTCCACCAATCACAAAGGAATATAAATAGGATATAAACAGAACAATTGGGTGAAACCTCAAATCACCTCCAAAACAATTATCCAGATCATTTACCTTTAATGGGGCTGAAAGACCATTAATATCGGAAAAAAGTACAAAAAGTGATATGTATTTAGAGTATAATTAAATCCCCCCTTTGCTCTAATGATCGTTCAAAAAAAAGTGTTGTAGCTGTTTTTTTTGTTAGAATTTAATTTTTCTTTGTCTCTGGCTGTCATTTCTTTGTTTCATATGCAGACTTTTCTTTAATTCTACGGTAAAATCCCTTACGAAACCTGTTGATCCTTGCGGTCGGCAGCGTTAAACATGTTAGAAATTTGATGAAGCTCTAATTAGATGTTAAATTAAAACTTAAACATGATTGTTTTCAGTGTATTCGTTTGTCTGGTATTAACAGTACATAGCACGTACGAACTAAAGCGGTTTATATATTCAGGCACTGCAAGTCTTACAGTAGCGGTGAGTGAGCCCAGGCTCCAGTAAGCACTGTTGTACGACTCCTGAGTCAAGCAGTGTCCTCAAATAGAACTGAAAGCAGCAAACTCATAATATTCTGATCACCCCAAGTATACCTG